GGATTTTCAGATAATTTATAGATCAGTTCATCATTATGTCTATTAATGATATCCTGGTATATTCAAATAGTAGAGATGAACACACTCACACGTGACTCAGATTTTACAAGTTCTCAAGAAAAAGAAATTGTATGCAAAATTGAGTAAGTGTTGGTTCTGGCTTTAGCAGACTACATTTCTAGGATACATCATATCAAGGGATGAAGTATTAGTGAACCTCGAAAAAGTCGAGCCAGTACTTAGTTGGGAGAAATTGACTTTAGTTAAGGAGATTCGTAGTTTTCTGAGAATGACAGATTATTACTTACGTTTGTGGAAGGATTTTCTAGCATTGTTGCTCCTTTGATCCGGTTCACAAAGAATAACATTAAGTTTAAATAGAGCGAGGATTACGAGAGAAGTTTTACAAAACACAAAAAGTGGTTGACTATTGCACCCGTGTTGACTTTACCGAGTAGGATAGGTGGATACACAGTGTATAGTGATGCCTCTTTTCTAAGATTGGATTATGTTCAGATGTAGCATGGAAGGTCATAACTTATGAGTCTAGGCAGTTAAAGAGTCATGAGAAGAATTACCTCACCCATAACTTGGAGTTGGTTGCTATTATCCATACCTTAAAGACCTGACGCTACTATTTGAATGAATGGACTTTTAAGATTTACACATACCAAAAGAGCTTGAAGCATATATTCACATAAAAGGATCTCAACATGCGGCAGAGGCATTGGATAAAGTTCCTTAAAAACTAAGACTGTAAGATTTTGTATCACCTAGACAAGGGCAATGTGGTAGCCAACACGCTTAGCAGAAAAAGTACAACCATGTTAGCTCACTTAATGATTTCTAAATGTAAGGTAATAGGGGCTGCACAACAGATACGACTTCAGGATTTGAAGAAGATTACATGCTTGGTCCACCTGATTATCTAACCTGAATTGATCGAGAGAATAAGAGAAGCCCAATTAACCGATTCTACCATAGCAGCTCTCAAGAAGGATGCAGAAGTGGGAGTAAATTCAGAATTTCGAGTCTTTACCGATGGGTCGCTCAGATTTCAAAACATGGTGTGTGTTCTAGGTAACAGTGAACTGAAAATGAACATGATAACAGAGGTTCATACCTCAAAGTTCGTCATACATCCCGGAAGTACTAAAATATATCAAAGTATCTGACCTTAGTTTTGGTGGAGCATGATGAAAAGAGAGATAGTCGACTTTGTCTCCAAGTGTCTGGTATATCAACAGGTTAAAGCAGAGCATCAACACTCAGAGGGGTTACTTCAGTTATTATCGGTCCCGAAATAGAAGTGGGAACATATCACAATGGACTTCGGGACAGGATTGCCTAAGACACGGTCAATACATGATGCTATCTGGGTAAATTATCGACTGACTCACCATGTTCTCTCACTTCTTGACTATCAAGGTGACCGACCCCTTGAACAAGGTAGGAAGAATCTATATTCAGGAGATAGTTAGGTTATATGAACTTCTAGTGACAGTGGTATCCGACAGAAACACTAGATTCACTTCTAGATTTTGGTCTAATTTTTAGCAAATCATGGGGACGAAACTGTCTCTTAGCACCACATTATACCCTCAAACTGATGGGCAATCAGAGAGGACATTTCGCACACTGGAGGATATACTCCGGATTTGTGTTATAGACTTTGGGGGAGATTGGGATGATCGTCTACCTTTGATAGAGTTTGCCTATAATAACAACTATCAGCAAGCATTGACATGGTCCCATATGAGCATTATATGGCCGACCTTGTAAGTTGCATCTGCTGGGAAGAGTGAGTATAGAAATTATTTGGGCCAAGATCTTGTGGATGAGACTACAGTTATGATAATTAAGATTAGGAAAAATAGCCAAACAGCTCAGAGAATGCAGAAGAGTTATGCGGATACCTAGAAGAGGAATTTAGAAATTGAGAAAGGCGATCAAGTATTTCTTAAAGTCACCCTTTCATTGGGAAAATTAAATCCCTGGTTCATTGAGACCTTTGAAATTTTAGATATAATTGGTACGTCTGCCTACAGACTAGCACTACAACAAGAGCTATCTAGAGTCTATAATATATTTTATGTGTTCATGCTACACAAGTACGACCTAGATATTTCAGACATCTTGTCCCTCGAACCCCTTTAACTCCAGAAGGATCTATTCTATGAAAAGATACCAGTAAACATTGTGAATAAAAAAAGTAGATTGTTTCACAACAGAGAGATTCCTTTCGTCAAAGTCCAATGGCAGAATCACACGCAGGGAGATGCCACTTGAGAACTAGAATTAGACTTTAAAACACAATACTCTCATTTGCTTACCTAAGAGAGAGGGTAACAAATTTGAGGGACCAAATTTTTCTTAAGGGGGGAGAGTTGTAATACCCGGGCCCGAAAATCAGCCTGGGATAATTTTTTTGTTTAAAAAAATTATATAAATAATTAATGTAATTTTATTTCAATATAATTTTGTTAAATTTTGAGAAAAAAGATGTGAAATTAAAAATAATTTTGGGGAAAAGGGGTGAAATTTTGAATATGCAGGGCGTTTTTGAAAGAAAAATTAAAAACATAGTGCTAAATCGTAAAAAAAAATGTTTGACCACGTGGGACGGCTCAGTCACAAATTCGAGTGAATCAGAGCATGTCGCGTGCGAGACAGGCTAACATCGGCTCCATGAAGAAGGCCACGTGGCTAATCGTGTGCCTGGACGATCTGACGGCCCATATCACATCTTTAAATGCGATCAGATGGAAGAGATTGATTGCAATGGACGGTTTAGATTCATCCATACAATCAACCTAAATGAAAAATCATCGAACGGACCCCATCGTTCCACATGTCCTCGAACGAACGACCTAGATGGGCACGAGATGAGTATTTAAACATTCCATCACATGAGAACCTAACCCTAGCCGCCCAGCCCTTACTGGAGAAGAAGAACCAGATACTGGAGAAGGAGGTTGATCCCCTGCCGCTGGAGAAGGAGGTCGATCCCCAACCGCTGGAGAAAGAGGCTGATCCCTAGTCGCTGCCGCACCGAAGCCATCGCGGACCACCAAAAAAAGTAAAAAAATTTCTTCCGCACTCGAAATTCAATTTTGAGTATTTCTATGGCCATATCAGAGCAAAAAGGACAGCAAGTGAGCTAGAAAATGCTGGCAAAGCCCGATAAAGCTGCCGCGGCCAAAACGCTAAACCCTCTCTGATGATCCCCTCTTTCCATTTTATGTTTCACATAAATTTTTGAGTATTGTGTTCATTGTCATTTTTCTATGTAAGTTAGTCGAAGAAGAAACCTCAATCGCGAAGGAGAACCGACGGAGCTGCCGTACCCCTTCCCCCCCGATCGTGTCGGTAGGTTTATTTTTTTATTTTCTATCCAACCGATGCCTCTTAATGTATTTTTTCGCAAGGATACATGTAAAATCGACCAAAATCGATTAAAACCGGCCAGACCGAGGTGAACTGCTGCCGTGTTGGAACCCTAAAATTGGCCAGAAATATTTTTCAACACCAATTTTAGATTTTTTGAGTTATTTTTAGGTATGTGATAAGTATTTTGATTTTCGTACGAAAAATTAAGGAAATATGGGATCCGTTAGGAGACATAGTAGATAGTACGATATTTTGAAATACTGATCTGGGTAAGAATCCCTCACCCTATTCTTTGTTACGGTAAATTGAGGTTTAATAATCAATAATTTTATGTTTTGTGAAAAATTAAACAAAAAAATCCTAAAAATAATTATAGGTCACTAGTGGAGGTAGAACCGGTCAGTTTATATTTGTCATAGTTTGTATGTGTTGCCTATTCATTTTACTATGCTGTCTAAATTGATTATTATTTCGTCATGTGCTTTAATTATTATTTTTAATTATTTTCTCGTTTATGGACTGCCTAATCATTATTTTATTGATCCGATTGACTGATTGGAAATAAAGGCCCTCACTACGTTTTTTGGCTATTAATGTATGAAATTGTATTGTTTACATAAATACTGTTTAATTAATCTGTGAATATAATATAAGATATTGGTATGCGCTTGGTGGTTGTTTTGTTGATGTGAATCTTTATGTGAAAGGCTAACTGGATATCCTGAGAAAGGGCGGATGGGATCGATACATAGTGAACCCTACCTGAGCGTTACCTCAGTCGGACGGGTTGGAAAATTCAATACCGAAAAGGTTTTGAAGATATAGTTCACTCTCATATCGGACGGGGTATCGTGACGATGGAATGTTTGGCGTCCATTACTGGACGGGGTATGTGAATGACTGGTTAATTGATAAATTTGGATATTGGGTTCACGCGTAGGGGAACATCTCTATGAACCCTAAGGGATACTAGTAAGCATGTAAAAAAAAGAAAAATTATCGTTTCTTGTTCACTTGTGCGTGAAATTGAAAGTTATATGGATATGGGTCTTTATAGGTTGATTTTTGAAAAACTCGTAATGGTAAGTATAGAATAAATAATTTTTTTTTCATGATAAATGAATTTACTTAAATTAAGGGCTCAATTAGTTATTTTTGGAATTTTTATTAACCTTCAATTTTTCGTATCAGTGATTAGTGTGATATTCTTAATAGGATAGTGTAGTTTATTCTTTTATTAAATATTTCAAATCAAGAGCACCAAGATCTAGATGCCGATCAGTAAGAAAGTTGTGAGTAGTTTACTTTTCGGACTCCTTCAAGAGTTTGTGAAGATTAACCCCTAGGACATTTATCTAATGTTTTAAATCATTTATTTGTTTCTCTTTACAAGTCGCTGTAGTAGAGACATTTCCGTAACTCTATTATGTATTCTAATTTATTGTGTAAGAAATGTAAATTTTAATATTATTGCTTGCTTCTGCATTTGAAAATATAAATTTATTTCCTTTTAAGTCTCAAGTCATTACAATATTTATATTATAAATATAATATATAAATATATCTAAATATAATATATTATGTATTTAAAGAAAAAGTTGTCTATTACTTTTAGAACATAAAACATAATTAACGGTCACATTAGATTTGATTATGTTTAAAGACATTTTCCAGTTAATACAACCTTCGACACAATGTAAGACCATCACCAATTGAAACTTGTGAAATTTGAAAACGATCATCACAAGCCAATTGTTTATTGAAATCTAAAATGCTCTTTCTTGACATCTTTGCTACATCCGGTACTTTCTCTTCCTCTTCGGCCACGAATCCGAACCATAATGTATTATCGTAGGCAATTAAACCTCCAATCTTAACCAATTCTATTAATTTCTCATGATATTTTGTGTAACTTACCTTGTCAGCATCGACAAATACAAAATCAAATTCGGGTTTATTATCCTGCATGTATATTAAGATTTTCATCATCATGTAATATATATTAACATTTTCATCTGGTATAAGAGATTGAATTGGAACTTACGTGGTTTAACAAGTGGGTTAAGGTTGTAAGGGCATCTGCCTCTATGAAGTCGATCTTATGTTCTACTCCTGCTTCTTTTATGAATGGTAATCCCACTTCATAAGCTTCTCTATTTATATCTATTGCTGTGATCTGCATGGCCAAAAATAACCCATGTATGAATTAACGATACATAAATATATATATATATATATGTATATGTGATTACCTGGCCATCAGGAGGCAAGGCAAGTGCAGTGGCCAAGAGAGAATAGCCTGTAAATACACCAATCTCTAAAGTCTTTTTAGCATTGGCCACATTCAGTAGCAATTGCAAGAACTGCCCTTCATCAACTGGTACACCCATTAAGCTTCTGCAAATACCATTAATTACTTTTTTATTTGTATTAATTATTGATTAATTAATGAATTAGGTAAAGTAATTATATCACTTACCTTTCAGGGTATTTTTCTACAGTGGCTTCTCTTAGTTGTTTCAGTTGGGCGTGCTCCCTTGGGTAAACACTTGTCTCGTACACGTACTGGACATCATAAATTAAATTAAATTAAATTATTATATTTTATGACCAATGACCTAAGCTTCGTTCATTAATTACCATTACTCATTTCTAGAAAAGAGACTTAATTAATTAATTAATTACAAAATATTTTATAATTTTCCTATTGTAAGAAAAGAATTAAAAAATTGTTACTGAATAAAAGAGACCGAAACTCAATACGGCAAAAGCATTATCTAACGAACATTTACTGCAAATTATTCGAGTTAATCTTTTTTCTACCACCCTTTTGGATTTTAATTTTTTACCCAAAGATTTAAGAGTAATTTTAGAGGGCCGGAGTTTGCAGATTTAGCAGAGAGAGGGATGCATCCAACGAAACGACGTCGGATCGGAAACTTCTATGTTATGCGTTGCAGGAGCATTCAACATAAAACACATTTACTTTATCAATATAAATATATTCTTTTTCACTTACATTAAAATTAAAACAAGCTAATAACAATACTAATAGTTTAAAGTATTTTCCTGGAGGGAGTGCAGCTGCCTGCTAAACTCTCTCTGTTTTCCTTTTTCTTCTCTGCGAATCTTCCCACCCACCCCCCAGCAACCCAAAAACAAAAAGAAAACAGAGAGAGGAAACTTTCTCAAATGGGTATCCTCAGATCCCAATACTGCGTCGTTTTAGAGATGATCAACTCTCACAGAAAGAGAAACAAGAAAAGGAGGAAGAAGTAGAATAACATAATAATAAAATAAAATAAAAAAAAAAAAGAAGAATGAGGATGGAGGAGAGTACCTTCAAAAGAGAATCGGTCTTGAGAATACCTTTAGGAGGCAAGGACGCCATGGAAATGGAAATGGAGTGATCTGTTTTCTCTGCAGACTGCTGCTATGAGCAAGCGTGACCCAACAACCCTCCCCTTCTTTAAGGAGTTAGTTATGTACTTTTCTTTTTAATTTACCACCGCCTCGCTTTCTTCAATTTATATGCTCTTCTTTTTCTTTCTTATTATAAAATAAATAAATAAATATTTATTAATGTTATAGAACTACGGGTTTACATCCGTCCGTGCCACATTATTTATTTTTTAAAAAAGAAAACTTCATTATTATATGACAAAGGGCAAAAATAAAAAATAAAAAATAAAAAAGGTAACCACATCACAACCCACTTCTATAAGAATAAAACAGCAACGAAATAAAAAACTATAATTTAACCCTTTCGAATAATGTAAAATTTAATTTAAATTATTAATATATTAATAAAATTACGATGATCAATTTAAATTTCACTTTAATTACTAGAAAAATTATTATTCTTTAATGATTAAGTTTCTTAAATTAGTGTAATTACAATAATTGTAAATATCCAATTGTGTTTCTTTTATAAAATTACTATGTATAAATAATTTTTTTTTTCTAAATAATGCATTAAGTACTTAATTACAAAATTAAAAAATAATAAAAGATAAAAAAATTCATAGTATTCTCAAAAAGTAAATAAAAATTTGGAATAAATTAAGAAAATGTCACTCAACCTATAACATATGTATTGGACAACTACCAAATGAGTCTTACTCGTAAAGATTTGTATCATATTCTAACATTATTATGATCGATAAATGGTGGTGAATATGTGCAAGAGAAGTATCATATTGTACGTGATTGTGACAACTTTAATTTATTATAAAATATTCGAATTGCAATTATCATTTATAAGAATAAAATTTATCGTATTATTTTGTTGAATTAAAAATTAATTTACAGTAAAAAATTATTGAATACACTGTACTTTTAACATAAGATTACAACTATGTTAAAAACTTTATTTTCTAGATCATTACATCGATCGATAGCATGATGTTTAATGATAGCATCATAATACACCTAATATATATATATATATATATATGCATTTTGAATTATAAGTTTAATAATTAAGATAATTACATTAAATTAAAATATATGCTACTAATTACTTAAATTTATGAAATTAAAGAAAATGATCCAATTATATTATATATACAAAGCATCAAGTCTCGACAGCTTCTCAAACAAAATTACGTTAAGTTTATAATTTTATAAAATTTAATTAATTAACTAATTAAAATATTTAATAAATTATTATTTTAATGGTATATAAATATTATTGAGATAAATTATTTGTTGTAAGTTGATTATATTATACTTTAAATATATATAATTATAATAATAATTACGTTATTTATAGTTTTATATCAATATGAATTTAAATATAAATAATATAATAAATAAAAAAATTTGTATCATATGTGAGAAAACCTTTATCTTTTGTAAAAAAAAAAGATATCATGATTCAGTATATACTTTGACTCTACTTATTTGTTATCTGGTAATATTTCATCTTTTTGACTTACATTTATATGATTAAAGCAACTTATATGAATGTTTTAATAAGGTCTACCAACAAATTATATATGTAGTGCGCCTGAGAAGTTAAATAATTGGCACAAATATTTTTAACTTTATTGATTGGGAGATCTAAACTTTCTAATTTTGTGCAGGAATCTCTATAATATAAAGTTCAATAAAAATCTTTAAAGTAGTGCCTATATACTATTGAAAGACCAAGTATACGAAAAGAAAATTAGTGTCAACAATTAATTTTATGGAAGCTCCATCATCATATGCTTCATAATACTAACATAACTCATGAAACCTGTTATACAAAATTCTCTATTGTCGTGAATTAACTATCCTATAAAAAGTATTACTAATTACTTGTTGTCAAGAGGGTAAAGTGAAAAAAAAAAAAATCCATAAAATTATTAAATTTAAAATTGTTACCAATTTTATTTGACGTGAGATTAAATACTAGATATTTACTAGTCAAATCCGATATATTTTAAATTCAAGAATGATATGAAGTAAGAAAATATAAAGTACTCATTCAATAAAGTATACTAATTGATTACTTATATAATAATTTACATGCAAAAATTAAGTATAGGGTCAAATAAAAAATACAAATCTATTTGTGGGTCATGTATGTGATAGTGTGATTCATTGTTAAATAAAAAAATTCACTAATCAGAAGGGTTTAAGAATATATCACAAACTAAAAATATGATAAAACATAAAATTTACAAGTAGCCATCCTACCAAATCTAGTGATAGTTGAAAAGTGAACCTCATGGTTACTTATATTAGCTCCATCAATCCAAAAAACTATAATGATTTTTGTTTTTGGAAATTTGAACCAAAACAAGATTAAAAAGCCTTTAAAGAAACAAAAATCCATTTATTAGTGAGTAGAAAAAGCAATACGTACAAATATCCAAATATCAAGAAAAATATAAATCATAATACCCATTATTATCATTATACACCATATTTGTTATAAAATACTAATTCGAACCCATTTACCCAAGCATTCACCCAAATTAAACTTATTCACAAATCTTTATGCAGAGTCAAAACGAAAATAATTTATCAACCTCCTCCTACTTTAAACAAAAGAAGGAAAAAAAGAAAGAACCAGCATAAACAAAGCAAACTTAGTTACTTGCTAATGTAATTTTAGTGAGAGATAATTGAAGGGAAAGAGAGGAATTAACCGGAGGTGGTGAATTAATTTTAAATAAATAAATTAATGGTGCCAAATTTTAATCTCATGTGATTTATTTTTGAAAAGTGTCTTTCTCTCTGTGTCTGGAAGAACTTCAATATAGCATACGACAATTTTGTCTTCAGCGGATTAAATTTAACTTCAGACGGAATTACTTACAAAACGAAAGTTTGATTAAAAAGTTCCATATATATATATATATATATATATATATCTGTGTGTGTATGTGTGTATAAAGTTTGATTTAAAAGAAGACAAAACTCACCGACCTTGAAAATGAGATGGTGGGTGGATAACGAGTTTTTGTCATTTGTAGTAAAACCAAACTGGAGAAGCTTTGGTTCAACAGCTTCAGTATAGCCCTTTAATTAAAAAGGGTAAATCATTATATTACTTTTTCAGTTAAAAAAAAAATAAATTAAACTTTCGAAGTAAAATTGTAATAAAAAATTATTAGGGACTAAGTCCTCATACGGACTTGAAAAAGTCATCTTAGGTATCATTAGAAGCATCTGAACTGTTTGTTTATCTTCTCACTACCTCCTCCAAGCTGGCAACAGAAGAGAATGAGGAACATGTCTTCCCAATACTCGAGGAAAGTAATCGCGCTTTGCTACACTTGGCAGTGCAGACACGGAGAAGGAGAGACTGAAAAGGGAAGTATGATTACTGAGGAAGTAGATTCTGCTTAAGGAGAAAATATTAATATTAACGAGGGAGTTATTACACCAAGTCAAACCCAGTTGGGTAGTGGGTCACCGATTTTGGAGTCTGGTGAAGATCATGATTTCGAAATGGAAAATACTCAGGTGAGCTCTAGAAAGTGTGAGACGGAGAGAGTCTCCATGGTTTTTCTGAAAGTCTAGGAAACCAAAGGAGATCGGAAGAATAAAGAAGAAATTAAACCATGGACTATCAAATTTAGCTATTAAGCCCAATACCCATAGGAATGTCAAAGGACCCAACAAAAACAAAAAGTAAAAAATCTCCTTCCGATATTCGAATTAAGGCCAGACCACAGAGAAGGGCACCATTGCCCATAAAACAAAGAAGAGTTAATCAAACAGGTGAGCCTCATTGCGAAAGCCCAAAAAGATAATAAGCCTGGGAAGCCTCTCGTTTCTAATGAAATTTTGGCTCTTTTTAAGTAGAAATAAGATTGTGGTTGCCGAGGAGGATATTGGATCCTTCTTATTTCTTATATGAATTTAAACTATTATTTTATGGAATTGTGGCGGTGTTGTGAGAGAGCTGAGCTATTTAGAGACGTACTCAAATTTTTCGTACCCAAGTTGAGGGGTGTGGTCTACTCAATTGAGAGTTCATCAGTCCTAAGTTCACATGGACGAGAGGATTCATGAAAGTCAAATTGAACAAAACCTATTCTAATACTGCTCAACAAATCCAATTCTTTAAAAGTTCGATCTTAAAACCTTACTTGACGTGATTTTGATTACAGTTTAATTTTAATCATTTTAGATATGATCGAACATAAAAATAATAGGAGCAAATTTATATTTTATGTCCGAAATAATAATAACACTAATAAAAGAATGTTAATTTTTTTAATTTTACTGAACACGTAAGAATTTAAAACGTAATATTATTCTGCGCGATTGATATTAATATTTAACTCACTTATAAAATTAAGCTAAATTTAAATAGGGAGGATTCATAGCTGAGTGTGAAATACAAATCTCTTCTAAAGAAAGAAAAGTCAGAGCTAAAAAATAGAGGTTTTTTCCTTTATGGGTTGAATGGGGAAGCAACCAACGCGTTTCCCATTTCCTAACATTTTCTTCGTTACTTCTATTTAACCCCGCATGAGAAAACGACAAAAGAGCATTAAATTAGTAAACTCGGTACCCAAAATATTACACATGGCAACTTCTCATTGGCTAAATTCTGAAGCTTCATATAACTGCAGGCACTGGACCATGCCTAACCGTAGAGAAGGCCACCCCGTTTGGCCTCTCCAAACCAGGTATCAAGTCCTTCACCCCCTTCCCCTCCACATTCCTAACTTGTTGAGACTGCAACATAATATCATCCCTCTTTTCTTATACGCTTTCCGTACAATTCTCATCCCTTTTTCTTCGTTTACAAGTATGTTGTCTTTATCATTATCTCTGAACCAGTGCCCAGTTTTCATTTGTTAACTCTTTGATTCCTATATATATATATATACATACATACTATATTCTGGTTGAAGATATCGTTGATTTTCGGAGAATCCCGAAGTTATGGTGAAATCAACAGATGATGGGCCTGTGTCAATTGCGCCATTTTTGAAGAAATGCTACGAGATGGTCGATAACGAGTCCACAGACTCCATAATTTCGTGGAGTCAAAGCAATAACAACAGTTTTGTTATTTGGGACATGACTGAGTTCTCTGTTCAATTGTTGCCTAAGCACTTCAAGCACAGCAATTTCTCTAGCTTTATCAGGCAACTCAATATCTATGTGAGTCGCTTTGTTTCTCCTTTATCTTCTCGCTTTTATGGCTACTGTTGTTAGGTTTTCTCGATTTGGTGGTTTGTCTTTTTGGTAATTGGTTGGGGAATTCTGAATTTGAGGTTTTAGCTTTTGTGTTACAAGTGGTTTTGGGCGTGTTTAGAAATTTAATTGTTGATGTTGGGGGTATTTTATGGCATAATTTGATCAGACAGAAAAAAATCGCCCCCTTGATATTCCATTTGTGATTACTTTTGATTTTTCATATTCTGAATTGGTTTCTTGTGTTGATTATGTAGGCTATGTCTTGGTCTTTGGCAATGGTTTATTGGTTTTAGCTTTCAGAATTCTGATTAACATGATATGAAGAGAGATTCAATACCCTTATTGGGCTTTTGCTTTAGTTTGATGGGTGAAGTAGGATATGAATATCATTGTTAATTAAGGTTTAATTGATCGTGTCTCAATTTCAAATTAGAAACTACTAAAAGTTTAATCAATAGAACAAAGCAATAATGGGTATGGGTATTTTATTTTTAGCTAATTCAGCTCAAAGCAAAGTTCTCTTATGTACATACTGTACGTTCTGTTTTTGCACTCAAGTGAGACTTTGTTGCATAGGCCAGGTTTCCCATTGGGATTAAGTGAAGTTTACTTCCCAGTGGTGCATACGATTTAGTTATCCTGAACATTGACAATGGGGTTTAGGAATATTTGCCGAATTCAAGTGTATTAGTAACCAGATTGTACTGCCTGTCATAAGGGATGAACAAGAATATCCCGGCCAATAAATGAAGTTTAATTTCGCAATCGGTGTTGAAACAAGTAAACAGAATAGTGGATGGTTAAAAATATAATGAACCTCTGAGGATTCAGATAATCTGCAATTACTCTTGTGGGCCTAGTCATCCAAGAAGGCTCTATTGACTGATTTGTAGATTGAGAGATAGATTTGACAACTGAGCTAAGCTCAAATCTTTGCAGTAATTATTAAGTGTTACAGGAGGAATAGTGAGTTGGAATACTTTATAAATGTGATTGGTTATTTCAAGTCTTCTTGAGAAAATCATGAAATGAAGATTTAGAGTGAAGAAATCATGTTTACGGGGTCTTTCAATTTACTCTTGTTCCTAGAGCACCTAGTAAATTTTTTTTTTTTCCTTTGTCGCTACCTATCTTAGGTTTGAGCCTTTACTTAAAGGACTCAATGAAAAGAAAAAAAAAAGAAAACAGACAGAGGGAGAAAGAGAATTATTGAATTGAAGTAGATACTTTTACATCTAAAAAAATTGAGTTACATATATTTATACTGAAAATATCAAATTCCAAGTTCTTGAAAATTCTGTGTGAGATGTAGATCCCTGCATTTTTATCTCTCTGTGTTTGTATATATGTGTGAAATTATTCTAATAGAACCATCAGTATTAATCAGGCAATTAGTAACTTTTATTATTTTCCTTCAGGGTTTTAGAAAAATTGATACAGATAATTGGGAATTTGCCAACGATGGATTTGTTAGAGGTCAAAAGCATCTGTTGAAGAACATATCTAGAAGGAAAAATGTTCAGGCTGTTGACCAGCAAAAACAGTCACAAAAACAGGACAAGTCTGTTGAACCATGGGAGAAAATTGAAAGTACTGGTTTATGGAAGCAAGTTGAGGATTTGAAGACAGATAAAAATGCACTTGGGCAGGAGCTGATTAAACTTAGGCAGCACCAGGAGACTGCAGACAGTAAATTGTTGCGATTGAAAGATCGCCTTCAAGGAATGGAGAAAAATCAGCAGCAGTTGCTGTCATTCTTAGTGATGGCCATGCAAAGCCCTAGCTTTTTAGTTAAGCTGCTTCACCCTAAGGAAAACAATTGGCGAATGGCTGAGGCGGGAACTATTCTGGAACAAGAGACAGAGGAGGATGAGCTATTTCCTTCTGATGGTATGATAGTCCCTTACCAGCCTCCAGTGGATGGAACCCCAAATCCTGCAGTCACAGCAATAACAGGTTCACAAAATCTATCTGAATCTGATAGTTTTTTTGATGGGCTGAAAGATTTTTGTATGAATTCGGATTTCATGAAAAATTTCATGGAAGAAAATCATGCCCCGTTTATTCTGCCAGATTTATATGATGATTTTTCATGGGAACAACTTCTCTTAACGAGTTCCCTCAAAGAGAGCATTGAGGATCCTAAACATGATGACGAGGGGTCTAATGACTGCAGAGTGGAAACAGATTCAACAGATTCTGGAAACCACCTGGACAAGGTTCATGATTTTGAGCTTCTAATGCAACAAATTGAGAAATCCCATGACTCGGAGAAATCTCCAACTATGGAACTTCTAACTGAAAAGATGGACCATCTGGGTTCTGGTGAAACTAATCGTAAACGAAGACTGCCATAAGAAGAAACAGAAAAGTTATGCGCATGGGGGTACCTTTGGGCTATCAGCATTGGTTAAATAGTATATAGGTCATAATGAATGGTTTTCTTATCACATTTCCTGCTGAGAGTGATATCTCCATTTTGAGATGTAAGTTTAGTTGCTTCGAAAATATTTATATGTATATATATATACACACATATATACATATATACTTATTTGTTTATTTATTTTTTCTGATGCTGCAAACTATTAAAAAGTATAATTTTTTAAAGTTGGGGAATATATTGATATTCAACTGCTATGCAGTATATTTAAATTCACGGTTTGTTGTTGCTGATGGGAAGCATTAATAAATTTTGTACGACTCCGAAGATCTAAGCATGATGCCATTCGGCTGCTGCAAGGAAGTGTACATACATACTATAGTTTTGTAAATGTTATATTATAGTTGTAGCAAACAAATTTTTGGAAATGCCTTTCAAGAAATGAAAACCAGAAATTTTTATCATGTGACAGCACTTGCGGAATTTTGTATTTTCATGAGAAGAGGATGCATACTCTTGATATGAATGGTGCTTCTGACTTGTGGTGGTTGTCGTTACTAATTGTGTTGTATGTAGTAGCAGGGCATATCATCAATTGCGAGGATTCAGGTCACATGTGAAGCTCTATAACCAATTTTCAGAAGCTGCTGAATTTGTCCGACCACCTGAAGTTAGATTGTTTCAGGATGAAAGAATGTGCAACACTGCACCTACTGAGAGCTATGCCAGTCTCGTTGTGCCATGCTTCTGTCCTAATCAAACTGCAACTTCAGCCCTGCCTCTTCTTCTTATTACTCTCTCTCTCTCTCTCATACACACACACACACACACAAATGTTTGTATCATGCATGAATTTGCATAAAAGAAGATGTAATTATTTGTGTTATGAAAAATGGTACAAGAAATGGTCCAAAATATTATAAGATGATAAGAACGACAGTAGAAGTAATTAAAAGAACCTCCACAAAATGATTCATTAATTAATTATAAGTGTAGGTTTAGGGCAATGAACTAAGGGTGAACAGCCTTTGCCAAGCCAAAAGCTGCTGCAGAGGCAATGGCTCCAATAAGGGTAGTTTGGATTGCACTGATCAGTGGTTTGTTACCGGTAAAATAGCCCTTGGCAAAGCCGAAGACCAGAAGGGCCACTAGGGTCAAGCCAACGGATGCAACCACAGCGTCTGTGGCTCGAGGAATGAACATGTAAGGTATGAGTGGCACTAGTCCCCCCATTATGTATGCTATCGCTATTGTCACTGCACTCTCCACTGCTCTTCTTGGATCTGGCTTCTCCAATCCCAGCTCAAATCTGCATTATTCACATGCTAATCAAATTACCAACATCCAGACAACAGTTATTAATCCTCAAAATGTGATGATTTAGAATTCTACAAGTGCCGGCAGTGTTCAAGATTCTCTTTGAGGTTACATATTTTCATTGTGTAGTTTTGTAAATCATACGTACACACACACACACATTCATGATATGTAAGCTCTCATGTTAAAAATAGGATTAATTATGACATTATATTATATCTACTTATGATATGAGTTATTTTTTATATGAATAATTGACAACTTTTTTTTTTTTAATAAAAAATTATAATTTGAATTAATTTATACATTTTTATGTATTTTTATTACAAGATTATATTATTATTAATGTATGTCTCATTTAAATAATAAAATATATATATTTTTTTTAAAAAAATAAACAACTATCATGCTTTAGAAATTCGGTGCTTTCACATTTTTAAGCCTTAAATTTCAAGATAAACAAATAGTATGTGTCGAAACATAAAACAATATAATTAACTAATGAATTCTATCTCATAGCTTCCAGAACAAACCACCTCCCTTAATTATTAATAAGTTATTCACTTGGAAAAGCAAGCTCCATTAAATTAATTAATTACTTAAAACAAGTGAAAAAGAAGAGGAGAAAAAAAGTTTGTAAGTACAGAAACATAAATCATGTTAGTTGTTAATTCACTATCAACGACAAAAGTTGAATCTCCTCTCACCACCATCAGATTCTGAACCATGCCTACGGGCTTTTATCTCAATGGAGCTTTTGGAAGAATATTCTTCTAAAAAAAGAGAAACTTTTGAAAAGCAAATATACGCGTTTTAATGCTTGGTATGGAAATGGTTTGAATTGCTGGATTCATTTTTCTGTATATATTTTGTTTCATTGCGTCTAAGAAAACAAATAAAAAGAAAAGGGATATGTTGGGTTTTCAAGATTTCTTTCTGAAAAATGGTGAGTTTATTGATTTGAAAATTTGTTGGTTACATATAAAAGCAGAAATGTATATACTACGTTGATTGAGTTTCTGAAAAAGATAAGTCTTAAGTCTTCCACTAGTCCAAATCATCTCCATGTCCATATAATAACACTTATTCATATCGTTATATATATATATATATATATATTCATGAAATTTGTGCTAAAGAAGGGTGAACTTACTTCATCATGAAATCAAGCCAGGCTTGAGGGTTCTTCCTTAGAGCATTCACCACAGGCGCGTATTCATGCGGTTCTATCCCATACTGCGCCAATATCTCCGCCACCTCAGCGGCCTCTGCATTTCAAACACAATAGACTCGGTCAGACTCAATTCTTTTTCAAACACCGTCCGATTGTTTTTTCAAAAAAAAAAAAAAGAAAATCAAACGACTCGACCTGATTCAAACAAGTGACGGTATATATTCGAGGTAGAGTGAAATGGCGTGCATGAACGCACCTGTGTCAGGAAACGCGATGATCTCGTCCTGCTCTCTTTTCACCTCCCTCGCGTAGTGGTCGGCTTCGCTTTGAGCCGCGAGATACCTTAACAATCACGAGACTGCTATATCAATCTCGTATATTACAATAAATAATCTGGTATTAAGAAGCAGATATTAGGTGTTTAATTTACCCGCCGAGTCCCATTGAGATTGCGCCGGCAGCTACTTCGGCGATTCCGGCGGTAAGAACGATGGAGGAGGGGGCATTGGCGCCGGAGAGTCCGGCGGCGAGGGCGAAGGGAACGGTGAGACCATCGGAGACACCGATGATAATGTCGCGGACAATTTCGCCGGCGGTGAAGTGCTTTTCTTTGTGCTGGTTGAGAAGCGTCTGCTTCTCGGGCTCTATGACGACCGTGGTGGTGGTGATGCTGTTTTCTCCTGCCATTTTCACCGTGCGACTCGTTAGAAGCTAGGATGGAGCGTATATATGTACTACCAGCCGTACTGGTATCGGACAATTACAGTCGATAGACAGAAAAAGGTAGGGAATCTCGGGAGCGTTTTGATCAAAGAGGGGGCGTTGATTTGCTTTCTGATACATTAATGGGCGTCTTGTCTTGGTTTTTTTTTTTTTTCTGGTTGTTGTTGTTTCCTTTTTTGTTCTAAAGGTTTATTTCGGGTGGAAGTATGAGTTAGGGGAATATCACATGATTTCTTCTTTTTTCTTAGTTTTCCATATAAGTTTATTTTTATTTTTATCAATTAAGTAATATATAAATATTAATTACAATATAATATAATTAATTTCTAAATTGAGAATATAGTATAATTTTAATTTTTAATTTTTATAGAAAAAATAATTAACCAATTATTCAACTAAATAACAATTATTTTTTAAAAAAGTCAAAATTCATCACAATTCTACGAAAATAGTTCTAACATAATTGTTAATATTATAATGTCGTACATTATGCAATCAAAAATATGATTAAAATAGTATAAATAAAAACTATATTTGTAATTTATTTACATTAGATATTGTTTTAATAATTTTTTATAAAATTTAATATAAACTAATATAATATAGTACAAATGTTACTGTGTGCGTGGTTTCCTTAAATCGTCACTCTTGCTCTCTTACTAATTTGTTTTGATCTCTATTTCTTCTTGTCAAAAAATTTTTTTTTTTTTTCATCAAAATTTACAAGTGGACGATGACTTGAAAAAAAATTTGACGTAAACGAGTTAAGGCCACGTGTCCAAACATGTAATGTTGACTTATGTGTTGACTTAACGGTGTTTTAACAGTGTTATATTGAAAGCATCACTGTTCATATAAAATAAAATAAAATAAAATGAAATAGTAAATGTGGTATTTTACTATTTTAAGTCCTATACCTCGAAAGCATCATCAGGGTTAAGCATGCTAAGATGGATATCCTCAAAATATCTCGTTGGGCTATTTTGGGAAAACCCAATCTGTGAGTCTCATTTTAAAACCCTAGCCCAAAATAAAGTGCTAGGGTTTTTCTTGTCCTCCTCATCTCAGCCTATAAATTCCTCACCTCTTTTCCTCTCGGAGATCTGAGCAGCGTCGGCCGTCGGGTGTGTTTTCCTGATCTACTGTTACACCCAGGTAGCGTTCTTTTCCTTTGTAGGATTTTTCAACTACTCCATTAGTTTCAATTTTGGGCTCTTAAAGAGTGACTTGTTCTCTGAATTTAAGAGCTGGGCTTTTTCTGCCTTCGTTTTAATTGATTGAATTTGCGAGACCTTAGGAGTTAGGGTTACCTCCATTTGATATTTATTTGATGATTGATGTCTCTGATGATGATGTTAGTTAAAAATACTTTCGTTCTTCTGAGTTTCCTATGAGGAATCATTAATGGAGACCTGAACTGAAGAGACATTCATTTCTTGCAGTATGCTGTCTTGCACTTGCTGTCTTTTTGCTAACCGGTCAAGTTAAACGAGAGGAACTGAGGTCACCTTAAGTTGGGTTTCCACCCCCCAACTAAGACACGTTTCTGTCGAGTGATTTTGTGGTTCTTCATTCATGATCCTTTTTCTTGAAACTGATACCTTTGTGCTTTGTATTTCTTGATTTTTGTTTTCAACGACGTAAAGTTTACTAAGATTCAGGTTTTGCCTCTAAGGATGAATAAAACAAAACTTTCGTTCTTCCTAGATGATCCATGCGGAAGCTTTCTGGAGACCTGAACTGAAGAGGCTCGATTTGTTTTAGTTTTCTTTGGTTAAATTATAATTTTCCTTCTAAATTCGTGATCTTGACGTGCAGTCTAGATTTATAAGAATTTAATTTGGTAATGCTGTTGGGTATGAGATCACATCTTCATAATTTGCAGTGGGGATTTGCAAAAATCTTATCACTATGTATTAAACTCTTAGATGTATAACCCATTGTTGGTACCTTCTTTAACTTGGAAATTTTGCTTTCATAAATGGTCCATTTGGCAGTTGGGATTTTCAAAAATTTTCTTTAATATGCAAATTTTGAGTGAAAATAATTCTCTTGTTTTCATATCCGTCTCTTAGCTTGAGTGGATATTCAAATCTTCTTCTCTGATGATGTTCATGATAAAACTTTCGTTCTCCTGAGCTTATCAATGCTGAAAAATCTGTGGAGACCTGAGCTGAAGAGTTTATCAAGAAGATTTCTTTTTTCCACTTTCATGTACTACAATTTATACTAGGAGAAATTGATGTTTTTTCCTTTTGAAAAACAGGGATGCTTGTTCTCCTTTTTTCTTTCTTTTCTCCTTTATATTCATGTAAAGAATCTTTGCGTACACAGTGTCTTACGTTTAAATAATCAAGGTAGCAATGTTACTTTTCTGTTCGGTTCAATCTATGTTTTTGTTTGGTATGAGAAGGTTGCAATGGCTACAGCTGAAAGCCATTTTAGCATTTTTACATTCTGAATCATGTGTGGTTCTGGCTTTGCCTTCTGGATTTGTTAATGTTTTGTATGTTTAATGATTTTGTTTGGATGTATTTTTCCAGGTCTTTGCAAAGCTACAGTCTGTAGTATTCTTTGGCAGGCTCTGACATTCTGAAAAAATGAGGTGAAACAAATTCTTCTTTTCTTGTAGTTATCACAATAATTTTGTTGTATCTTCTGGTTATTTATTTCTCAGCACTGATGAGTTTTGTCTTAAATTTTGCTTGTCTTTACAGCCGGCCAATGGAAGAAGATGTAAGTTTTTGGCAATAGTAATTTCCTTGATATATATTGGTTCTGTAAATTCCTCGAGAGTTCTAAATACTTGAGAGATTATGTTACTGTTGTAGGGTGGTAAGAATGAGGAAGAGGAGTTCAACACAGGACCGCTCTCTGTTCTGATGATGAGTGTTAAGAACAACACTCAGGTAATAGTTTCTTAACTATCTCATGAATCTTGCTTGTATGTTGCTTTTTATAGTATGGAGAATGTAAGGATTTTAAATTGATAATTGTTAATCTCTAAACAGGTGCTCATCAATTGTCGGAACAACAAAAAGCTTCTAGGTAGAGTAAGAGCCTTTGATCGGCACTGTAATATGGTTCTAGAGAATGTTAGGGAGATGTGGACTGAGGTTTGTTTCATTGGTCAAAAAGCACTTGTGATTACATACAAAAGGTTGCATATTTGTATTTATCTCTATAAATTGAACTTCAATTCTTTGGTGTACTGCAGGTACCAAAGAGTGGGAAGGGCAAGAAGAAGGCATTGCCAGTTAACAAGGATAGATTTATCAGTAAAATGTTCCTTCGCGGTGACTCAGTTATTATTGTTCTTAGGAATCCTAAGTAACTTTGACTGACTTAGTTAACTATTTGAATTTGAATGAATTGAGGAGGGAGTTTTTGTATCTGTAACATGAACTCAAGCTGAAGATATTCATGGATATGTATTCTGCAAAATCCATGTCTGCTGGATGCTGAAACATGACGATCAAGAGCATGGTTGTAGTGTATTTTGTGGAAGCAGTAGTAACGATTTTGTATATTCGAAAATGGAGTAGTATCAATATATGTATGACAATTTATTTCTAGCGTCATGGAAAATGTATAAACTTTGTAAAATTCTCATTCTTTCTAGACCTTTGTGAATATTTGTTCTTCTTAAAGCTAAACATGAATTTTGAAACGGAATTATTCAAAAATCTTTTATAAAGCAATCCTGTACTCATTTTAACTAGAACAAGTATATCAATTTTTGTATAATATATAACTAACTTACTATTTGAATTTCAAACAAAATTTAAACTATTATCATTTTAGTATTTATGTGATTTTCCAATTAGCTAATATAAATTTGCATATCATTTATAGATGTATTCCAAACATTGCTTAGCAGAAAAGGGGTAGAATCGTGGGTTAATGTTATAGTTGGTGTATATAAATAAGCTTTCCTTTTAATTATACGTATTTGCATATAATGGTGTGCATGTGCAGTAAAAAAATATTAAAATAAAAAAACTTATGTGTTTTAATTTTATAATTATCTTTTAAACATTACTTTGATTTACTAATTCTCAGAGAAGTTTATTCATAAACATTTATGAGCTTGGGAATGAATATTAAATTGAAAATTTTAGATTTGATCTTAACTGGGTACGGTTCTATTCTGGTGAAGTCAAATATCAAACCTTGACTTCAATTTCTCTCTCCCTCAACCATGCCTTCTGTTCCTCAACATGAGGAGGCGCGTGAGCATCTCCTGCAGATCGACCGTGGCCTCGGATCCCAGGGATTCAAGATCCGAGTTACCGACTTGAGCCGATTATCCGACTCGGGAACTCCGATTTTGAACCGGGTGAACATGGATATACCTGAAGGAATTATCGTGGGGATCATAGGGCCCAGTGGCAGCGGCAAATCAACGCTTCTCAGGGCTCTCAATCGTCTCTGGGAGCCACCTGCTGGAGCCGTCTTCTTGGACGGTCGTGATATTAGGGATCTCGACGTTATAGCCCTTCGCCGTCGAGTCGGCATGCTCTTCCAACTTCCGGCGCTATTCCAAGGTGGGGGTGTACCTTAATTCTTATGATTAAAGTATTTATTTATTTATTTACAAATAAAAATTTAATTCTTATGATTATCTGAGCTGCATCACAAATTCACTTTAAATGATAAGTGCATATATAATCTTAACTTGGAATTTAACCAAGATCAAGTCATACCGAAAAATAAATTAATTGTTATTTCAAAATTTATATATAATTAAATTAGGGGATGATGAAAATTTTGCCAAATAATAAAAAAAATTGATAATTTGGAAAATTTCCCAAATTAAAATTTCTTATAAAATCAACTTTCATCCTTTTCCTTTTTTAGTTGTAATAAACATAAACAATATGCTTTGGTTCAGGCACAGTTGCAGATAATGTAAGATATGGGCCGCAACTGAGAGGACAAAGGTTAACAGATAGTGAAGTTTGCAAATTACTGATGCTTGCAGATCTTGATTCCTCCTTTCTGGTTAAGAGCGGTAATGAATTATCAGTTGGTCAAGCTCAAAGAGTTGCACTTGCTAGAACCTTAGCTAATAATCCAGAGGTATACCCAGAAATTAAAAACTACCAAATTTATAAAAATTTTATCAAATGTTCTCTTACCCATTTGAGTTGTTGAAGGTTTTGCTGTTGGATGAGCCAACGAGCGCTCTCGATCCGATATCGACGCAGAATATAGAAGATGCTTTAGTGAAGTTGAAGAAGAAAAATGGAATGACAACAGTGATGGTGTCTCACAGTATCAAACAAATCCAGAGGATTGCTGATATTGTTTATCTTCTTGTTAATGGTGAGGTTGTTGAAGTTCTAAAACCTGATGAGCTCTCTCAAGCCAAACATCCTATGGCACTCAAGTTCCTTCAACTCAGCTCTTAACAAGTTTTTATTTAGCATTGTAAGCATTTTGTTCAATAAGTCTGGCTTTGGTTGTATTTGTAAGACATTATCAATCGCATAAACTTGTGTAATTATCTCATTAAGAATTAGAATACTATAATTTATGTTGTGTTTTCTGTAATTTTTACTTTCATGTTCATAATTACCTAGACTTGTGCAAGTTCTGTCTCTAAATTCCTATAGTTGGGATATATTTGAAACATATTTAAATTTAAATTTAGCTGGATATGAATAGTAGTAAAATAAAATAAGGCATGTATTTGTCAAATTATTATGAGACCAAAACTATTTTCGTTCCTTGGTGAGATAAAATGTGGTTAATTAATGAAATGTAAAAAAAAAAATAAAAAAAAAAATCAGTGATATACTTAATTTTTATGAGATTAACATTATTTGTAAAGTTTCGGAATTTAAATGAAAATAAAGTTATAAATTAAATGTGTAAACGAGATAATAGAATTAAGATTTACATTTCTTATAAAATAATTTAGAATGTTCAATACAATTATTAGAATATCCATTATTAAAGAACAAACGAAAATTAAAGAAATAAACGAAAAATAAATGACTAAACAATCCTAGAACGACATTCAATACCTTTTGAAGGGAGTTCGGGTAGTGAACTATTTGCAACATTTTTGTTGATTGAGATCTGAATCTTAATTCTCTTTATCTGAAATAGTTAATGAAAATGTGAACTACATTAACCCAGTAAGAATATCACACTATCATAGATACAGAAAATTAAATATTAGTAAAAATCAAAAGAACAACCAAGTAAGCCCTTAATTTAATATAAATTCATTTATTATAAAAAAGTCGTTTATTCCGTTTTGTATAACAAGTCTTTCCTAACAATAACTTATAAAAACTCATATTCATACACTATTATTTATCACATAGAAGATAAGAAGAACGATCATTTTACATTTTTACCTGCTTATCGAAACCCTTAGGGGTCTATAGGAATGTCTTTCTACTCGTGAACCTAATATTCAATTAAATAATTAACCGGCCGTCCTCATACCCCGTCCGGTAACGGGTGCCAAACATTTCACCACCTTGATATCCCATCCGGTATGAAGGTGAACCATATCTACCAAACCTTACTGGTAAATGACTTCCTAAGGGACTTCTTAACCCCGTCCGACTGAGATAACGGTAGGGTTCCCTATGTACCGGCCCTTTCCGCCATTTTTCGGATACCTAGTAAGTCTTTCCTATACAGATTTTCATCAGCATAACAATCAATCATGCAATAACCAAAACTCATTTTATACTCACCGTTCACTTAAATAATAATATAGTTTAACACAGCTAAATAACTAATGACCAGAATACCGGCACATAATGCAGGAAAAATAAATAATAAAATAACCAAAAATACCCTAAAGATCATCAATTGAGTTATGCACAGCATAATAGTAAACAAATATATGCAATATAGAAAAATAAATAGGAAATCAAAACGATTGTGAACTAACCAGTTCCAGCTCCACTAGTGACATGTAATTATTTATAAAGTTCTTTAATTTTTCATAAAAACACACAATTATTGATTATTAAGCCTTAATTTGTCGTAACAGAGAAAATAGTGAGGAATCTTTACCCGAATCGGTATTTGGAACGCTAAACTTTCTACAGCGCCTACTGGCGGTCCCCGGATTTTCTGAATTATCCATACAGGATCCAAAACACTTGTCATATACCTAAAAATACCTTAGGAATTCAAAATCAATGTAAAAAATCTGTTTCGGCTAATTTCGGAGTTCCAACAGGGCGGCACCGCCATGCTCCAACGACAGCATCACCTCCTGTGGCGGCAGTTTGCCTAGACCTGGCTATTTTCAGCTGATTTTGGCCGGTTTCTGCCGACTTTATACGTATCATTGCAAAAAAATACGTTATGAGGATCTCGATTAGTCAAAAAATTAGAAAACGAAAACCAACCAGTGGTAGAATTTTTCAGGTGTGGCGGCTCCGCCAGCTCACCTTTGCGGCTAGAAGTTTTTCTTCGGTCAATCTGTAGAAAACAGAACGGCGAACACAACGGTGAAAAAATCACACGAAACGGAAAACGAGAAGGGGCTCATCGAAAGAGGTTGCGAGTTTTACTCGCGGTGGCGGCGCCGGGCTTTTCTCGCAGTTTTCGGCTCACCCGCTATTCCTTTTGCTCCGATTTAGCCATGGGAGTGCTCGGAATCAAATTTCAAGCGGATAAATTTTTTTTTACCTTTTTTAACGGTCGGAAGTGGCTTTGGTGCAACAGCAGTCAGCGGTTGGCTCCCTTCTCCGACGATTGGTTCTTCTTCTCTAGCGGGAGGCTGACGGCTAGGGTTTGGGTTTAGTGTGATGCGAAATATTTGTATATATCTCGCGTTAATCTGAACTATTCATCGCGTTTGATCTCGACCGTCCAATCGTGTTTAAAAAGAAAATAAATCTAAACCATTCATTACGATTTGATCTAGACCTCCGATTGTATTTGAAGAGAAAACAAATATGGACCATCCACGTGTGCGGGATCGATCATGGGCCATTTGATTGCAAGGCACGCGGATCGCCTGCGTGGCATCGACGTCAGCGTGCTTTACCACGCAGCATGCTCCAATTTGTCGAGATTGCTGACTGAGCAATCCTACGTGGCAAAATTTTTCTTATTTGCACTCTGACTTGCAGTTCCCAATTTTTTTTTTCAAAAAACACATCCCGAACTCAAAATTTCATTCTTTTTTTCTTAAAATTATTTTTAATTTTAACTATAATATATATTTTTTCTAATAATTTAACAAAAAATTAAATAATTAATTTAAAAATAATTTTCTTATATATTTAAAATATTAAAATTATTTCTGAGCTAAATTTTGAATTTAGATATTACATTATTCATATTATGAACTCTTTAAATTTTATGGGTTGTGTGGATATTCATACCTTTTTCCATTGCATATCTCTTCCATTTTCATAACTTCATATTTAATTTATAATTTATTTTTAATTCAATTAATGACTTAATACATCTCTATAAATAGATATTGCAAAAAATTGTGGTATATCATAAATTGGTTCCTTCCCACTACATGGTGATATCAGGTGTTACATTTTTTTTTTCTCGTATTTTTAATGCTTTCTCAAGATTTTAAAAATAAGAAAATTAAATAAAAAATTTGCAGACTAGATCACCTGCGCCTAGTAGGCTCAGCCCCACCCTAAGTACCCACTGGGCTCGTACTGAGTCCTGCTTATCCCAGAGCCCATTAAAACCCGGGCAGCCCGTCTCCAAGGACACCCAAAGGCTCAAGGTAGTTCCAAAAATGTTGATGCAAATATTCCGTCCTACGCTCTTGTCGATGACAACGACGCTCACGAGGGCCCAAACACACGATATAGAAACCCCATGAATCCACGATCCCGCACAGTCCCCGCCCAACGTCCATAACCGCTTCTCTCTCTCTCTCTCTCTCTCTCTCTCTCTCTCTCTGAAAACCAACAACTGCATCGCATTTCCATTCTCTAAATTCGAATTTTAAATTCAGACAAGAGAAGGAAAATGAAGTTGAAAACATCGCGAAAAGTGAAGCGAAAGATGGAACCAGTAGCGAACATCGGGAAGAAGCTCCGGTCAAAGCGACCTCGACGGAGACGATTACATATTTCTCCGGTTTTATGCTCCTCTATTCTCTGTAACAAGAGCGGCTTGTCTTCTCTCTTTGCCGATTCCAGCTCTAACACTCACCTAGATACTGAAGTTTCCTGCGATTCCAACAGAGTCTCCAAGAATTTCATTGCGAAGAAGAGAGAGTTTACTAAAACTGAAGAACCTGGATCTAGTATTCTGAGAATTGAAAGGACTGGCGACTGGCAGTTTAGGAGGATCACAAGATCGTACTATAGACAGATGGAAAATGAGAAAAGAATAAATGAGTTGGAAGTGAGTGAATCGTCTTGTGTCGAGTCGAATTCTGGAGTTGATTTTGGAGTAAGGAACCAGAAGTTGAAGAAAGCAAGGAGAAATTTGACAGGAATTGAGAGAAGCGTGAACGATGCAGTTTCGGTCATGCAATCAGAAATTTCTTGTGTTGAGCAAGTTTCCGATTCCAGGAATCTGGAAACATCACTGGAGAATAAGGAAAATGATGTTGTTTCTAATATTTCAGGAGTGGAATTTTGCTCTGAAGCGGTCTTTAGTATTGCAGTCAAAGGAAACGGAAACAGAGCACCACAAGAAGGTGAATTGTCCGAGACATCCAAGCCAGACAATGCCGCTGAAGCCAATTTATCCATCTCAAACTCGGAGTCAGTTCTGGAGCAGAGGCAAAAGCTGATGAGCTTTGGATTTGATTCCGATCTCGCTTGCACAGAGCAGTTCTCCTACGATGACATTTCAGAATACTCGGAGTTGCAGGACATTTTTCAGGAGAATTCAGACCTCGATTTCTCTGAATATACTCCATCAATTTTCTACGACTCTGGAAGCGAATTCTCGCAAAAATCATACAGTGATTCTCCTCCTTCTATGACTTACTCTCTGTTGCTGGAATTCAGAGAACAATTCTCTAGATCAACTACTCCCCTAGATGTTGCAATTCCTTCAAACCTTGAAGAAAATTATCCAAATCAACCTACAGTAAGATTGCTAGAAGTTTTTCTTAATGTTGTTTTTTTGCTTCATCGTTTTCGCGGTTTTTTTGCAAATAAACAGAGTTGGCATGATATTCCAATATGATTGATGAATTCAATATTTTCATTTTCGAGTGGAGATATAAACTAGTTTGCGTTTGTAATACGTGCTTCAGTCACTTTACCCCGTATTGTTGGTTAAATCTGGAATTCTGGTTCTTTTGTCAGTTGGTGAGATTTGACGATGAGGATGACGAGCAGAGCTATCAGATGTTCAGGGAGAGAGAAAGAAGAGAAAAGTTTTTGCGCGACTATACCGAAGAGTACCGCTGCACAACGGAGTACGGCGATCTCATCCTCCAGCAACGGTCGGACATGATCCACTGGATAGTTGAGGTCAGCAAATTATCCCTGGTTAAATATTACGTTGGTTGTGGCCATTTTAAGTTTCCAATTTTTCGTTTTTTGTTTTTTCTTTTTTCCCCGAAATTGCCATGGCACTTGTACACATGGTTTCACGTTCAGTTGGAGACATGCAGAAGCACAAGTACAGTCAGTTTGGATGATGAAGCTCAAAAAATTTATACGACTATTTTCGTAGTCTCTCTTATTCTAATCATGTCGTGACGAGTCATTTAAGTGCTTTCCGTTGGTGACGTTAGCACTTGTCAATGAACGTTTAGGGGTGTTTTGGTCATTTCGTTGGTCGAACAAAACTGGACTTCCTGTTTGACTTTACATCTACACGTATATTTGATATCATGAGGTGATCCATGGGAGCATGTAACTTTGTGCCTCAGAATGTAACCGAAGCAAACTTGATTTAAACTGGAATACCATCGGGGAGCCAATGACATCTTGAGTCAGTATAAACTTTGGTGTCAAATGTCCCCTTTCCATACATAACGAATTTCCGCATATTGAAATACAAGATAACTCAAATGAGTTCTACCGGACTTCAAACAAACTTTTCTTTTCAGAAATTGAATATCACAAGACCGTTTAAGCAAAAAAAAAAAATAATAATAAAAAAAAGAAACAGGACCAGAATTCTACGTGCTGGCAGGCTGAAATAATTTACGGGCCAGATTTTTTTCCTTTTTTAGACTATTAATTTGTTATTTGGCCATAGATTTGCAGGTTTATTTGGCTGTATTTTCTTTTGCTTTTGTCCCCTTTGGTTGCGTTTTACCGCATCAAAGGAGTTAAAATATGTACGAACCAAAATGTGCCTTTCTATTTACCTCTGTTAAATCCTCAAGGGTAGCGCTTATATAGTGAGATTATCAATCAATTACCTAGGTTACTTCATTATGTATCATCTCTGTTTTTTTCTCTCCTCTAATTAGAACTTCTGGTTTTTGTAGCAATGCAGTAAAAAGGAGCTTCAGCAGGAGACGATGTTTCTAGGAGTTAGCCTGCTTGACCGATTTCTGAGCAGAGGATTCTTCAAAAACAAAAGAAGTCTTCAGATTGTCGGAATTGCTTGTCTTGTATTGGCCACCAGAATTGAAGAAAACCAGCCTTACAACAGGTAAATCATCTACCATATGCTTGTCCATACAATCCCTAATTTCATGCTATACCAAGTTGGAAGGAAAGGAGTAAGGCAAATGCATTACGCAGAAATGGTTGTAAGCCAAGGCTTATTTTACAAAACTTTAAGCGTGATAGGCTGTCCACCTCCTTTCCTTGAAATAACTGGGTGAAGGTACGTATTTACAGGTTGGGGTGGTCTGGTAAGTCATCCTGCAGTAGACTAGCTATATGCCTGACTTCAAATAGAGAAAACAAAGCAGATACTTCATGCATAGTGTTTCTCACTAAATTGAAAGCTATAGTCCATTCTTATCATAAATGAAACCATCTTTTGGCGAAACGATTACCAAACAATCTCAGATCCACTCATAATCATCACGTCCATCATCCAAGTACTTAGTTTATAAGAAAATTATGTCTAAATTAGTAAATTTCATTCACTTTAGAGTTTCTTGTTGGCATGTTAGCGTGCGGCAAAAGAGTTTCTGCATTGGGAGCGACACGTATAGCAGAAATGAAGTCGTAGCCATGGAATGGCTGGTGCAGGAGGTTCTCAACTTCCAATGTTTCTTGCCCACCATCTACAACTTCTTGTGGTAAACTCTTTCCCCAGCATCCCCAGAGCTCTTTCCGTTGGAAAAAGTAGATTGATTCACCTCTTTGCTTGATTTCCATTGCTGTTACCTTTAGTTGGAAGCTTGTGTTAAATACCATCTCGTGATTGTTCTTGCTAATATCTAATTTGAGGTTCCGCAATACATCTTTAGGTTTTACTTGAAAGCTGCTAAAGCTGATGCAGAGATGGAGAAGAAGGTGAAGTACCTTGCTGTGTTGGCTCTGTCCGACCATGAGCAGCTGTGCTATTGGCCCTCGACAGTCGCAGCTGGTCTCGTCATTCTGGCTTCCATGGAAAACAATCAAAATACATCCTGCAAACGTGTCATCGAGGTATAAATTAATAAGTGTGTGGAAACATATTCTTCCCTCTTCCCCTCTTCTTTACCGCGTGCTTGTGCCTCCAGGTGTCTTGAAATAAGATACATTGCATCGAGCCATTTCGGCTGATCTTTAGTGGGTTTCGAATAGTTTGGATACTGGGTACTATTATGAAACCTATGGCATTATGTTCTGCTACAAGATTTAATATGACTACCGTGATTTTGATTTGGTCAAGGATCAGCCTTAAATTTTGGAAAAGTTACATGAGAATGTTACTTCTATTGGATGACGAAGGACATGTTCTTCGTGTTTTTTGCCTTTTCCAATTTTTTGAACAACCTTAGCATCTGGTTAGCTAGAAATTTTTATGTGGTTCTGGACTACAAGACCCTATAAACTTATTGACCCATGCAGACCTTTTGTCGGGCCATATCAGCTTTTTCTTACGCAAAATATAAATGTAACACTATTAAAAAGTGGGTGTTTCAAGAATCCAAATCACTTGTAGTGCAAGAGTATGCAATAATTTCCCCTGCTTAGCACCGGAGATGTAGACATAATAGGTGTTATCTAAGTAATTGATTTTCAGATCTTGATCAATCTCAGCTGTTTTTGCAGATTCATGTCAGAACAAAAGATAGTGATTTACCTGAATGCATAAAGGTATAGAAAACAGAATCACGTTATCATTGTTTTAGTTTACATCCACTATTTTGACATAATTCATTCCTATGCGAGTAGTTGATGCAATATATATATTTTTTTTAATTGCAGTTGTTCATTGTAATTTCTCATCCGTATTTAAGCTGAAATTTTTTCTTTATCAATGGTCTCTGATGGCCAATTTTGAAAGATTAAAAGGAACTGCTTTCTGATAGTCTCGTTTGTGTTGACAGAGCCTGCAGTGGTTGCTACAGTTTGTAAGCTAGTAACCTAAAGGACTAACAGCAAAGGAACGTATGTATATATATGGCATTCCGTTTTGTTCAGTTACGCTTTTTCCTCTTTCATTACAGGCACACAATAAAAAGGCCGACCAAAAGACGTTTGTAAGGTTGGTTAATAATGATCATCCAATCGTAATGTAAACCCGATTTGTTTCTACCTCAGAGACATTTGTTGATGCTAGTTGTAATTCATATAAATAGAGAAGAAAATTAAATTCATTTTTCAATGAACTGAGCCAAGTGAAACAAACTCAAATTCTTATCCAATTCTCTAGAATTGGATGTCAAATTTCTGTTGAAAACTTTTGAAATTGTGCAGGTAATTAGAAGATTTAAGGGAAAATGTTCTCCTATTATTTTATTTCTTTTTATATTTCTCTGTTATCTTAACAGGTAAAAGTTAATCGCAGCCAGTAACTTTTAGCATCCAACAGTGAAGTCTTGGTTACAAGTTCTAAAACAAAATCTTGGGAAGGTAACTTTTCAACAAAGTTTTTCACATTCGCCTTTAAGAATAAATGGCACAGACAACAGAATTGGAAGAGCCAAAGTCATGAAGGGAAACACTTAACAATATGAGGAGATAAGCTAGCCGGTTCCTGCTGCCAGATACCTTGATGATATTATGGAGCAACACTTCATCAATTGTCATTACCAGTACCATATCAATGCATTCATGAATAAATTTCTATCATTAGAGATTCACAATTCCAGCGTTGCCCCTCCATTGATTAGTCTTAGGCTGGTAAATTATGCTGGTAAAAGAATCCCAAAGTTTTAACAAGCAAGTTAGAATTCTTAAATGTTATACAAGCTCGCAAATGCCGTGAACTTCGCATTTATTTAGTTCCTTAGTACGCGCATATTTTATAGTTTATATATAGAATCAAAGTTCAAATCTGGTGATAAATAAGAATGAATAAATTTAAGAGAACTGAGAGTACAAAAAACAATGTCAGTGGAGCCCCTATCAAATTATGGCATTTATAACACGATTTAATGATGTGTATTTTGTGCAATGGATATGGATTTCAGGAGTCAACAAGGCCATAGGTGGCAAAAACCAGTGGCAGCTTCTAACTGATGGTCTCAGATCATTTATGCTCAACTACGCTATTCCCAATCGGCAGTCATATATTTCCAAGCTTACGGTCAGATGAATCAATTGGGACCAAAGGAGGTGCTGTGGTCGGAGACTGATCATCTTGGTGGTTATCTGCCAAGCCATTGATGATCTCTACGCTGTCCTTGATGAGAGTTTCCTTTTTCTCTTCCTCAGCCTTCTCAACTTTCTCTTTGGTCATGGTGCTCACATCCTCAGCTGCCCTTGCTACTGCACTGAGTGCATTAGAAACCCATGAAGCTCCAGTTGACACATAGGGATTACTCATGAGAGCAGAACCTGCACTGCTTGCTTTCTGCTCAGCAGCTGCAAACACAGATTTTGTTTTTTCTGATACTTGGAATTTCTCATCCATTTCTCTCATTTTTTCGTTGACAACAGCAGTTCCAATGCTTAGCTTTAGGCTCAGACCCATCTTTCTGTCAAGGGAAGCAACCGTAGCAGATGCATTTGATGTCAAGTGATGCTGCTCGTCAAAGGCTTTTGCCTTATTGATGGCATCTTTCCCCAGTACATAACCCTTTGCAAGCATGGTACTAACAACATCTTCAGCTTTCTTAACCGCTGTTTCATTTGTACTTTTTGGGCTTTTCTCCTTCAAAAATGAAAAAAAACAAGAGAAACTAATATGAGATAAGCCTACATGCCAAGAAAAGAAGCAATTTCCTTTACATCTCGTGTGCAAACATCTGAAATGAGTGTTCTTAAGATGAGGTGCCTTACGACTTGAGTAGCTTGCTACCATTGGCGGTTCAGCCTGTGACTCAATTTCATTCATAATATATCCCTCAAAAGAAAGGAAGAAAAGACAATTGTATAGATAGATTGCCATGTTATGCGTGTCCATATCAGATATTGATATACCAAATTTGTAATTGTATCTTGAAACCTCAGATTCAATGACAGATGAAGTTAGCAATATTCAATGTTTCTCTTGTTCCCAGAAACGGGAAAACATACTAGCTGGTAAGAGGAAAGAGTTAACAACTACTAGTATTCTACCAATCTTTGAGTAATTATACTTCTATCCTTTTTCCTCTACATTCAATCATCCATTTCAAAATATAACATTATTTTAGATGATTATGCTTAACAACATAGAAGATGTACAAAATCAAGTCTTGTGAGGCCAGGAGGAATAGAAATTACCGTGTCCAAGGGAAAAGCTTCAGGGGGCAACTGATAATTGTCAACAGGTTCAATAATCACAGAATGATCAGCTATGGTGGCTCCCTGAATCAATAACTACTACTTTTTATTACACCAGGGAATGCTGACACGTACACTTTTTCAGAAACATATAGCAATGAGCATGATACGGGCCAGATGAACTCACCGACAGAGCATTGCTGTGTCAGCTCCTTGTAACTCCTTGAAAGTAACATAAGCAACCTGAGTCTCTTCTGACTCCCTGAAAACAGTACCACTAACATTTCTTGAGGATGAAATTTGTAAAATAACCAACTGTCCTGATAAAGATCAAGAGATGCTAACTTTCGCATTTCGATATACTGAATATGGCCCAGAGAAGGAGAAGAATTCTTTGATATCATTCTCAGAAACAGCTTGAGAAAACATTACTGATCTTTACTGTTCTTACCTGGCAAGAATGTAAAACTATAAGAACATTTAGAAAAATCATTCAAATAATTTCACTACTGTTGCTATGACAGTATTACAATTTTAAACTTCAATATATGCAAAAATGTTATTACCTATATGTTGGGAATTTCATGCAAAATTAAAGAGAAAGCAAAATACATATTATTTTCCTTACATCTGAAACATTTATTGTCCAGCTTGGTGCAATTGTTGTCTGGTGAATCGTTGCAATGCTCTCGGGAGCCTGATCAGATGGGCTCATTGAGACCTAAAAATTACAATCTTGCTATGAGAAACAGGATCAGAGAGGAAATTAAATGTTATAGAGTCCACAATTATTAACCAAGAGAAAAAAAATGGACTAGAGATAAGATCTGGTTTATGCAGGAGTAGATTTCTCAATCAAATCCATGTTCAAAGGGTCTTAATGTAACACCCTGATTTTTGTTAAAAATGAAACTTCATCAGCTTATACCAGCCTCGTGTTCTTTAATAAACGGATCTAGGATTCATATTTCCATTATACTCATGTCATTTTCCTACGTTTTCTCAGGAACGAGACAGAAAATAAATTTGTAATCGTACACCCATGTTTTAGTTTCAATCCGCATTAAGAATCCACGAAAGAATTTCGCAGGGATCTCTAATTCTCCGCATTATCTTGCAATAGAATGAAGCAGCAATGGATCTAATTGAACACGCACGTACATTCACTTAATTTCAGATACAAACAACATGCAAAGAATAAGCACGTGGTACCAAAGTGGAAACTGAAGAAAAAGAAGCACTCACCGACATTGGGAGAGTATTTGACGAAATTCCAGAAACAGAAACCAAGAATCAACGAGGAAAATGGAACACAGAGAGAAGGGTGGTCGATGAATTCTTTTACCAAGGGAAAAAAAACAAAACAAGGAACGAGTTTGCGTAAATCACAGGAAGTTCGCGCGCGAATTTTGGAAGCGTGTTGAATTTTGGGAGGTAACAAAGTTGGCCCATGCTCAGTTAAAAACATCAATTATTAAAATATATATTAATAATTATGTCTTATTAATGTGCACATATTAATTAATTATCAAAATGTATTATTTTTTATGTTATATATATATTTAACAAAAGAGCACATGCCTAAAAAATTAGAAAAAAAAAACAAATTAAACAGGAAAAAAAAGATAAATTTTATTTAAATTTAATAAGTAGAGTCATCGTACAAGTTGGTCTAAAGATTCAAATGAATAATTATTTTTTAAAAATTTATTTTAATGTCGATATATATTTTGAATTTTTAATTGTTTCAATTGAAATAATATTTTATTATTTTAAATTATCATATTAAAGTTAATTATGATATTTAGTTATCTTGTTAAAAAATTTAATTTTGAGATAAGTGATACTGAAACATTTATAATCAAAACTAAGGGTATTTAAAGTATCAATAATTTTGTTAATAAACATTTAAATCTTTATTGATATGATAAAATAATATATGTTTTTTTATTTTTTCTCTAAAATCAAGTTTATTGTTAATTTATTAACTATCGAATTTTTCTAACCTAATATAATTTCATATATAATATAAGTTGATGTTGATAATTTATTTCTTAATCAACTAAAAATAATATAAATTGTTTTTTTTTTAATTTGTTTATTGCTAATATTATCTAAAGAACAAATTAATTTTTCATTAAAGTTTATATCATTAACTACACAAAGTTTGTCCAATAATCTTATTAATTTTCATTTTTATTTATTTTTCATTGTAACGTGATATTTTAAAAAAATTATCATGATAAACATTAATTTTGTTTTCTATAGTTTTTAATTAATTAAATATTATATTATATTACTAATGATTTATACTATTAATGATGTTATATTGATTTCATAAATAAATTTTTTGATAGTGTGTGTATGATTTATAATATTAAACATAATTGTTTTGGTAAAAAAGTAACAAGTATTTGTGCATTTATGATAAGTATTTTCCAATAAATTAATTATTTTTATTTCTTAAGTTGCTTTAGAAAAATCTAATAATTTTATAATTTATCTAACTAAATATAAAAATTAAAATAAAATATTAAAAATTATTTATAAATAGGGGAAATAAGTAATTCCAAAATCCTGGCTGCAGATATAAATTGGAACCAGAAAAAACACGAGTAAACTCAATCGATGAATGTATCCCGCGCTTACGAGGACATTCTTGTCATTTCAGCCCTTGACTCTTCTCTATCTACGGTAGCACCTCTCTCCTTCCTCTCTCGATTTGCAGTTACTGCCTTCTCTAATGGCGGTGACCATTTTCGAAGCATGCAGAAAGAGGGAAAGGACTGCGCAAATATTCAATACTCGCAACTTCGCCACTCCAGGATCCTTCGTGGACTTTCACGGTTCCTTTCGGGATAATATCAGACTATTTCTTCAGAATTGCGGACAAATTGAAGGTTACCTTGTTGCAGGGAATACCGTATGGTGCAATTTGTTTGTAAACAATTCAAACGGCGTCGTTTTCCCTCTATACGTGGTCGAGGAGGATGTGAAATCCTCGTCGCAGCCTCTTTGTGATATTTGCAGAATCGTGGGTGAGTGATTGATTGATTCTTTTTGCAGTTTGTTGTTTGTTTGAGAAGTCGCACCACCCCTCTTTTTTTGGATTGGGATATTTGTAGACCTTTTTAACATCCGTCTTAACTTAGCAAAACTGACGCTATCTTGTTAAGTTTTTCACTGAATTTGTCAGTTGGGATTTGATTAATTGAAACTGTTAATATCACGTTTTTTTTAAAAATCTGATTTAGATATTTTTGTCTATTATAGTGAATTTTGTATTGGATTTCGTGGGTGTACCTTATTATTTAGGTTGTTTGTCTATTTTGGAATACGTTTGGGCTTCTGCAGAAGTTATTCTATAATTTTGCTTATGGTTTGATCTTTTGGTAAATTTTTCTAAAAGATTGTCAATCAAATAATTGTTTGTAAAGGTTGTTTCTAGGTATGCTGCAATTTTGTCTTCCTACATATGAAATTGTCAATTCAAAATTGTCTTGTTTAATTTGAGAGTTTGATTTCTATTAATAGTTGATGAATTTTGTCTCTGAATGCTTTCTTTTTCCCTTCCTTGATGCTAGTTTGTCATTAACCTTCCTTTTTGTATTGGATTCTTTTGTTCTTTCTCTGTTCTTTTGATTATTATCTGAAGTGGGTTCTGGTAATCTTTGGTGGAACTTGAAGGATGGGCTCATCATTATGTATCCAAACGAAGATATCACTTCATAATCCCAGAAGATGATGAATGGAACAAGCCTCTGAGGCCAAAATCTTTTGAGCTCTCCTCTCATCTCCTTCATGGTCTGATTCACTGCAATGGGTTTGGCCATCTTGTCTGCATCAATGGAATTGAATCTGGATCCAAGTTCCTCTCTGGAGAACAAATAATGGATATTTGGGATGGTCTTTGCACAATCCTCCAAACTCGGTACAAATTCAACTTTCAAATAATATCTGCTTTTCTTTGAATTTTACGTAACCTGTAAAGATTTCTTACTTGGTGAGCTAGAATATTCTTGCTTTCCTTTTTATAGAGGTAAAGACTGTAATATCAGCATGATTTGAATCGTGATTCTCTTCGCAGTGAAGCAAGAGCTAACTAAAATGTAAGATACTGTCCAAAATTAGGAATTGAGAGGAGTATTGAGCTCAATGATGAGTTGTTAGCATTGCTTTCTCATTGTAATATTAATTAATGAAATATTGAGATAATGTAGATAAGAGGCCTATCTTAGCATGTGCATGTTATTTCTCTTAAACTTTTCATGACATCCCAACTCTGTACAGACATAAACATTTTTAATTAGACTATTTTGTTAACTACTTTTCAGAAAAATTTCAGTTCATGACGAGTCTGAAAAGAGGTCAATGGAGCTAAGGTTGCTTCATGGGATTGCATACGGGCTGTCCTGGTTTGGAAAATGGGGTTACAAATTCTCTCATGGATGCTTCGGAGTAACAGAGCAGAAGTATGATAGGGCAATCCAAATTCTTGCTTCTTTAGAGCTCCAGAAAATCATACATGATTTTACTAATAGAAAACAAGGCAAAGCAATCCAACAAATAATTCACTGCTACAGAGAAGCAAGTGAGACCCACTTGGCCACTATCTCTGATTTGCTCCAATTCATGCTTGTTTTCAAATCCAAAGCCCTCATTGAAAGAAAAACCGCCATGGCATTGGCTGCTATTGTTTCATCTTCGTCAGCCAAAACTAGCGACCAACATGAACCTGCAGTGATCGGACAGAAGAACCCAGTGGATGGGGGCTCGTTTTCCTATCCTATAATTACAGGAGAAAGAGATTCTGCACAGTCCACAATGAGCCTGCAAAAAAAAGCAGCTCATCAACACAGGACAGCTACCCATGAAAGACTAGTTGAGGATAGATCATTTGGTTTCATCTGTGAGAAACTTGATTCTAGATGGCCAGCAAGGAGATTAGAGGAGGTAGCAAAACTGGTTGCCAAAACATTGGAAGAACACAAAGAAAGCAGAGGCAGAGGGGCTAGCATGGCCCGCCAAGACTTGCGTAATGCGGTCAGAAAGTATATTGGTGACACGGGGCTTATTGATTATTCGCTCAAACATATAGAAAAAATCATGTTTGGTGGTCAAGTGGTTCGTAGATTCGTAAACCCAATAACCAGGATGCTAGAATTCTCTCTAGCAGATGCTGCTAAAAAGAAAAAAACAGAGAGGAAAACAGAATCGGATACGATTGACTCCTTTGATCAGGAACCAGGAGTCAATGTTAATAATGATCTCTTATATTTATACAGGAATGTCCTGCAGGATTATCCCAGCTCTGACTTACTGAGTGGAGCAAGTATGGTTGTTTTAGATAGCAAACATTTTGTGAAGGAGTGGCATCTGGGCAATGAAGAGCAGCAGGATTTGAGGATACTCTGCCGTGTGATGCCGAGTTTTGAGGAGTTGGCTACCCAGTTGACTCGGTCATTACCACCGGCTGAGCAAGTGGTGATCCCTCGAGATGCGAGTGACAGTGAGCTGCAATTGGTGGTGCAATGTGCACTAAGGGACACTTACTGCATAATGGAGAGTTTTCGAGTGACAAATATCAATGAAGCAGGGAGTAGAGGAAAGCGGGAGGTTGTGGTGAGAGGATGTGGGCTGGACCTGCGTACAGAACTGAGATACGAGGGTGGGGTCGATAATTGGACAGTTGATTGTAAATGTGGGGCCAGGGATGATGATGGGGAGCGGATGGTGAGTTGTGATGCTTGCAGAGTTTGGCAGCACACAAAGTGCAACAGCATTGAAGATGATGAGGCTGCACCTTCTGTTTTTCTATGTAGTTTGTGTAGCAGTAGCGCTGGCACTGTCACCGAATCCCAATATAGGTAACTTTCTAACTGACTATACGTGTAAAGATTTTCAATTTTTTCTTAAATTTTTTTCATACTAACAAATGGTTTATTACTTTTGATTATTATAAGTTATGGTGACAGTATCAAAGAATGAGGAGGTTTGATTTTTTACTTTTGTGTTTCTTTTGTAACTTGATGGGATTGGACACTTATTCAAGTTTTAGTGGATAGGAGATAACCAGTCACTCATTCAAAGTTCAGATAGGTTTCACTTGTATAAAGTTATTCTTGTTATAAAATTAACTTTCAAAGATTTCAAAAACGATTATGGTGTCTTGCAATATCAATGTGACATCCCAATGCCCATGTCACGCATTCATGTAATAAATAAACAAAATGTGAAAATAGTAATTTACATCCCTTATAAACTTATTAGTAAATATGGCTCTAATGAGTCTAAATCACTATTTTACAATTCAATCAAAATGCTACTTGTACTAGGATTCAGCTTCTAGCCTTCAAAATAACTTAGGATTTTTACTGATTTTGTCCTTGATCTGGGTCTTGATCTGGACCTGGGTCCTGCCTTTGATTCTGATATGTAAGGGACGTGGATTAGGATGAGTTCTACATACTCAGTAAGTACAAGATAATAATATAAGAGTAGGGGCAGAGTTTTTCTCCAAAAGCAGATTTACTCAATGATAAATGCAATTTAATACTATTATGATAGAGGTTTACGAAAACTTTGGTTTTGATGATTGCTGAAAACTTCATAATAGACCTATTGTTTTAATATTATATTAAATAGAAGAAAATTTTCTTATTTCGTTACTATAGAATTTGGAAAAAAAATATTAATTTTATTCTCACCATCTAGGTTGTTATACTTGAAATATTTATAGAATTTTTAACTTACTAATTAGGAAATAATTATTCTACTAAAATTCTAATTACATGAGATTCTTATTCTAATAAAATTCTAATTACATAATATCAATTAATTAAATAATAAATTAAAATAATAAAATATCATATTCAACATCTCCCTTAAGTTGGTGCATCGATATCACACATGCCCAACTTGCAGACCAAGTTGCAAACTGGAACAAAATATTTCAGGTAGCAGCTCGGCTCGTTTCGGTTCAAAATGACTTGGCTCGTTTTGGTTCAAAACGGCTCGGCTCGTCTCAAAATGGCTCGACCTGTCTCAAAATGGTTCGGTCTGGCTTAAAACAGCTCGGGCTTGACTCTAAAATGGCTCGACCTCCACCGGAGTACGGCACAAGCTCTCACGCACCGTCAGACGCCTTGTCACTGGAGCACCATGCGCCACCATGTCCACCGTTGGAAACTGCCACGTGCCGCCACCGGAAACACCACCCGCCACCAGGAACTCGCTAGGAATCAGCATAGAAGCTTACGCCTGCTCAGATCCGGCATGGATATGATGAAATCGCGCTGAAAACGAAGCTGGCCGCGGCGGCTAGGTCTTTTTCTCTAGCGCGCTCTGCCGCGTGATTTGTCTTCGGCTCTTATCATACAGACAGCTGCAGTCTCTTCTTGTTCAGCCCTTTGCTTTCAGAAAATCATCGGACAACTTTTTCTTCCTCAGTGCAACAGATATGATCACACAATAGTCCGTCGAAAAGCCGCTGCGCGAGTCACCTTCTCCAAGTTTGGTTGTGTCGAAGCGTGTCTCACCTTCCCACCATGCACAGTTCGTCTTCTCTAACTGCGGGCACAGGCCGTCTTCTTTAACCACGGGCACATGCTGTCTTCCTCCTCGCACCCGCGTATCTGCTTCTTCCTCTATAGGCTGCGCCACCAAACAATGTACTAGCTTCGTTTGGTTGCAGATTTGTCAACAGCCGCTGCCATCACTGCGGCTGTTTCCTCTCTCTCTCTGGTCTGATCTGTAATGAGGGTCCGACGCTGTTTAGGGTGATGATAAGGGTAGATTTAGATAAATAGGTACTAATCCAGTTTATTGTGCTATTTTAGTGTTTGAAGGAAATTCTGAAATTAAAACTATAAAATAGTTTTATTTGACTCTGATACCATGTAGATTTTTAAAGAAAAAATATTAATTTTATTCTCACCATTTAGGTTGTTACACTTGGAGTATTTATAAAATTTTTAATCTACTAATTAGAAAATAACTATTATATTAGAATTTTAATTATATGAGATTTCTATTTTAATAGAATTCTAATTATATATTATCAAGTAATTAAATAATAAAATAAAATAATAAAATATCATATTCAACAGTTACTGTTGTTCGTTTACTTCTCTTACTGTTACTCATAGTTTATGAAATTTTTCGAAATCGTTTGAATAAGATTTGCGCTTCTTTTCTTTTTTGAATACTTACAATACTAGTACTTATTATTATTTTTTCTTTCCTTCTTTCTGATCTTAGTTGATTAATTCTTAATGGATACCGCACAGTTCTTTACATATTAATTCAAATACCTTATAAAATTTAGGATTTTTATTCTTAGCTTGGCATATTACAAAATTATCCTTTCCAAAGGTTCTTACTTTATTGGAAAATTCACAAAAGTATCCCTTTTCAAATGTTCACCAAAAATATCAAACGAAAGATAGACATGGACACTTCATTTTATGATGTTGCTTCTAACCTATATTAGGGAGGGCAAAAGGAATTCCCCAACTACCACTATGGATGGACGCATGCGAATAAAAAATCAGATACAACATGTTACAGCAGTACTTTGTCAAAGTGGCCACTAACAAAACAAAAGCTCATCCATGTTATTTCATCTATCCACAAGATAGGTTTCACTTGTGAAAATGCCGAAATTTGGCCATACACAAATGGAAACCCCTTTGTGATACTAGGTGAAATGATTTCACAAACATTCTTATCCTTCAACTATACTAATCGTTCTTTTGTTTTTCATTTATGAATTTCATTTAAACTTAGGTTTTATAATTTTACCGAGTGACTTAGAATCTCATCCTTTTAGATTTAATTGTGACTTGTGAGACATCTTATCTTAATCCTTTAGTTTCTATTTAGCACAAACTACCTATTTAAATTCATGGGACTGCTACTTAATATTTTTTTCATTTGAATCTTATACGATTTTATTTTATTTCAATTGAATTATTCGTAAAAAGTCAATTTTTTATAATTTAAGTGACTTCCTTGTATGTATCCACTCATGCCTAATATGTTGAAGTTTTCAATAGAACTTATTTTCTCTAAAGTTCCACATTTTATTTATTTATCTCAATTTTTTTATTAACTTGTTTCTGATTTATTTAAAACAATTTCTCAACATTAAATTCTTTGTTTATTTCCCATTTCCTTAATTATACCTGATTCATCAAGCTCCATTTACCAAATAAATTACCCTCCTTATTTATTTTCAAATCCTTATTCCAACTTTAAATTTAATTTTTTGATTGATTTATATACCTATTTGATTTCCAACATTTTCTTTATTTGACACTCAACTTCTCATTTTAGAAAATTCTTAGATACCAAGCAATTAATTTACGCTTTTCTTTCCTTGTCAATTTCTTTGATTTCTTTTGTAAATTTATAATTTTCCAAGTTTCATATATATACCAATTGCTTTCCATCGCCGACGCTTAAACATTACTGCTTGTTTATTAACCTAATTTGCCTCCGCTTTCTATTAAATTATTACCAATCGTGTTTAGATTTCATTAAGGCAATTCCGAAAACCTTATTAGTTCACACAAAACTTTCTGTTAACCTGTTTTCGAGACCCCTTTAATGCAATCTTCGCTTTTTCTTCCAACTTTACCATGTCCATCTTTTAAGAAAACAATTTTTCGTTGGCATTATCTTGATGAAATCCATTCAACAGAAAATTTTGCAGTCATCAAAACAAATGTCAGAAATCAAAATATAATGCACAGAAAAACAGATTGCAGAGGCAAGCTGCATATACTCGGCAAGCTCAGTGGCTTTACCGGCGCTTTTAAGCGCCCAGGATGCCTTCGCGTGAACCCAAAGGCATCTGGGCATATTGCGCCGGCTCTCCTAGCATTTCAGCACCCAGGAGGCCTCTGCATGGCATGTGCCCTCATCTCGGTGGATTAAATTCCCT